ATCCATCAGGAATTAATTAATATATTTAAATGATATATAAGAGAAAGTTGGGCAGTACTAGAGAAAGTTTGTTCTAACTTTTATACCACATGACAGCATTTCGTTTGATGAAAATAAATGGAAATAGCAATTTTGTGTGACATAATTCATAACCATATTGTTTGTTCTATTATGACACGTTAAATGAATGTTCTCGCTATTATGGAACGTATAATATTATTTTAAGTATCAAAAATTATTTTTGTCTGGAAGTGACATTTAGTTTTTTACCTAAGTAAATGATTTTATTTTATCGTGTGCGTTATGTCTGATATATTAATTACAATAAATGCGATTAACCAATCTCCATAATCGCGAATTTCACAAAATTCCTTTCCGTCCTTTTATTAAGTTTCAGTTGTATCATTTTCTTTCTTTTTCGAATTCTGTTGACTGTGGTCGAAGATATTCGGAAAAACCTAGAACGATACTATCGGTTTTTCCCCATATTTTGGCAAACGTAATCTGAAAATTTTCTATGTATATTTTTATATAAATTCCCGCGATTGAACTAATCGGTTTATGCTCTATGCTCGCGGTATTGCACAAGTGAAACATCGAATACAGAAACATTCTGTAACACAGGTATTTATTTTTTGTTCATTCCTGCTCTTTCACAAATTTAAGTGCTTGTTAAAGCTGTACAATAACATGTTTTCCAAGCGAAGAATAGTACAAAAATATTTTTTTTTACTCAACAGTTCTGCATTGTTTTCTGTGAAATTCCAATAAAATGTAACTTAAAACTAGTAATTTCATATCTATAAAAAGAAACCGAACAAAACGTTTGCAAAACGGTGAATGTCGATTTTTCTCTGTAATTTCAGCGGGCATGCTTGTGGAAAAATCGGAAAAATACAAATATTAACTATTTGCGTGTTCGCTAATATGTACTTCAATCGCATGAGTAATCAATACTCTATATTCATTGGGAGGTATTTATCACAAATGGTTAGTCTTTACCACGAAAAAAAATATACGATTTCAGTGGTGTAGGATTGGTGGAACCACGAACCTTATTCCAGACGCGTCACATAAAATATTCAAGATGAGCGGTATCAACCGCAAGGCCTTGCATAAAATAACCCCCCAATACCTCGCCGCTGCACCGCTCTTACGACTGTGCAAACACTGGACCTCCTTCTCTCCCTCCTACTCTGTCTCTCTCTTTCCATCCAGGTTACCACCGCCTGGCTCGACCGTGAAAGATGATAGCGGTGAGAACGGAATGCCATTAGCATTTCTCATTTCTGCTTTTTGCGACTCCTTATCTACAGTCAGCCGACATCGCCCCGGTTGCGTGCCCCGGCACGGCACGTTTGAAATGGAAAATTTGCCGAAAAAAGCCTCAGGTACGGTTTTTCTTGTTGCATGAAATCGAGCAACGTAATTACGTGCCATGCGACAGGAATTAGCGATAAAACAAGCTATGTACCTCCACTCGGTTGTCATCTATACAACTCATATACGTATGTACATATGTATATGCAACTCATAGATGCTATGATGTGAATTATAACTTAGGACAAATGGTTTAAAAGTTCTCTTCTCTTTAAATTTTTCTTTTCTTATTAGTCATCGACAAAGCTTATTTTTTTTACAATTATCAAAATACTTTAGATAATAATTAAAATCGTTGACCCACTATGTATTCATTATATTTATCTCTTCTTCAATCATTACAATATCAATATATACATGTGTGTGCGAATATACATATTCATTCATAATGAATATAAATGAATGAAGAACAATATAATGATTGGAATTAACGAACTGAAATTTCACTCTGAATATCTATTCGCAATTTTGCGGGTTTAATCAACAATTTGTTTGCGGGATCCTTTTCCTTAAGTCTGGTATTTGAATATCGTCGACAGGACACGGTGCGGCGTCTAACAGATATAAGAAAATTTTGCGGGTGACTTTAATCGAGCTTGGAAATTTCCCAAGAGCAACGGTGGAGTTCCGAAGCAAAGTAACGCGAGAATCATTGAATTAATCTAGAGATTCTCGGAGTTTCCTGATTCTGCAGAGAACCATGCTGCGAAACATCGGGATCGCTTATTTATAACGTTCCTTCACGTATAACGTGGAATCGTTAACTCTCGTTTTGCACATATTATCTCTGCATTGCTGACAGTAACCGTACCGTGATAATAGGA